CCCCCGCCGCACCCAAGATCACCCCCTTCCCACGCTGGTCCTGGACCGACACAAACACAAAGGCCTACGGCGTCAGCCTCGGCTCCTGGCTCGTCCTCGAAAGGTGGCAGCTCGAAGACTGGATGGTCCAAGAGGGCGGCCCCAACGCCTGGGACGAGTTTCGCTTCACCCAGAATCTCGGCACCCGCGCCGCCTCGGTGCTCCAGGACCACCAGAACACTTGGGTCACCGAAGCGGACATGGACTCGCTCCAGAATGCAGGCGTAAACCTCATCCGCATCCCTATCCCCTTCTGGGCCTTCATCCCCACCGTCTCGGGCGAGCCCTACGTAACCACCGGCTACGTCGACCAGCTCAACAAGATGCTCCAGTGGTGCTACAACCGCAACATGTATGTCATGCTCGACCTCCACGCCATGCCCGGCTCCCAGAACGGCGACCAGTCTTCCGGTCACAACACCACCGACATCGAGTGGTTTACCCAGGCCAACCAGGCGCGCTCCGACACCTTCCTTAAGAACGTCCTCGACTGGGCCACAACGAGCAACTACAGCTCCATCATCAACTCGATCGGCCCCGTCAACGAGCCTCGCATTGTCGACGACAACTGGGCGCTCGATCAGAACCGCTTCCAGATCGCACAGGCCTACTACGAGCGCTCCTACGCCACGTGCCTCAAGTACAACATGCCCATGCTCTTCCACAACGGCTTTGCTCCCGGCACCGTCCAGGACAAGATGAACCTCTGGAAGCCCTTTGTCACGGGCAAGGACCCCAACATGCTCATCTACGAGGACCACCCCTACCCGGGCTGGTTCCAGACGCCCGAGCCCGGCGCCGACGCCATCCAGACGTCCGTGTGCGAGTACGGCGCGGCGAGCAACTCGTTTGGCGTGCCCATCGTCATGGGCGAGTTTTCGGCGATCAACAACCTCAACTCGACCAGCTATTCGCGCAGCTACCTCCAGATGCAGCTTGCCACCTACGGCTGGTCGGCCGGCTCGGTCTTCTGGAACTTCAAGGCCAACAAGTCGCAGACCAAGGTGCTGGCGCTCGCCGACAACCTCATGGAGCTCTACTCGTTCCTCGACATGATGGGCGACAGCTACATGCCCAACCCGGGCAAGGGCGGCAACGTGCGCAACTTTTACGCCAACCTTCCCAACCCCTGCGGCGGCTTCCAGACGTTTGGCTGGAACAACCCCGTGCAATAGTTGGCTCCCTTTCGCATCTTGTATTCCCCTGGACAATCCTTTCTTTATTTGTTTTGCTCGTTCTTTGCGCGCTCAATGCAGTCTCTTTATCAGGATCTCGCGTGTGGTGGTGGTCGGATGGCGAAGTGGTGCGGTGAGACGAGAAGGTGCATTTCAGAAGGACAAGAGGAGAGGGCAGATGCATGCCAAGTGCGCGGGGGCGCAACAGCATTGGTGGAGGCAACAACTCGAGGCTGCGAGGCTGGGCGCCTCTTTGACTCGCTCGTCTCTGCTTGGGTAGGACATTTCAGCCGGTGATCACGGCCGTGCACTGGGTCACACTGTGCGCGAAATTCACCCACCAAGCCTCGACTCGCAAAGATCCATGACGCAGAGAGGGGGAGAGAGAGCGAAGGTGAGACTTGGTGGGGTCGGGTTGCGATTGTCTCGAACCGCGCGATCCTGGCCGCGACAACGACGTCTTGTGCTGCCCCCAGCCTCCAAACCGCCGCCCCACCGTTGGCACGAACCGCAAATCCATTTGCACAAGCTCGACAAAAGCACACAGCAGCAAACCGCGAACGGATCCATTGCAACACGTCGTCGAAACCAAGATGGACGAATCAAGGACGCGGGGCATCACTTTTGGAAGGGGATGTCGTTGGTGACTTCCTGCAGCTTGTCGTAGAGCACGCCCCTCTTGTTTCCAAACGCATCCTTGACCAGCGCGCGGGCATGGTCGGCCGCCTCCCTCTCGTTGAGTTCGGGCTTGAACCTGTCCCTCAGCCTATGGATCGTCGGCATGCCTTTGAAACTGGGCAGTTCGGTACCCAGCATGAGCTTGCACGTATCCACGATTTCCTCGCAGAACGGCCGCGCCGCCAGGAACGCCTTGACCACCAGCTCTTCAAACATGCCGTACCCCTGCGATCCCGCCCCGCCCATCACGTCAATCATCTCGTGGCTAAGCTTGAACGAGTACGGCTCGAAACGCATCCCACCGGGTCCAATGTCAAAGAGGAATCCAAAGTCAATGTGAACCAGGTGGCCGTCGCCGTCGATCATCATGTTGCCGTTGTGTCGATCGCGAATCTGCAGGATGTGGCACACTACAGAGTACGCCGCCATGGACTGGATAAAGTTGATGCGCGCGCGCTGGAACGCCACACTGTCCGGACTACCGTACTTGCCAATGAAGAACGTGAGCAGGTGGTTGATCTTTGCGCGTCCCATCTCGTCGCGCGACGTGGCGTTGGGCACAACATCGATCACACCACAGCCGGGACCGGTGGCGGTGACGCGGTACGGGTTGAGGTACAGGTCGATGCCGACGGTGGTGTAGACGTTTTTGAACATGGCGATCACCTGCAGCGCCAGCACGTCCTGCCTGCAGTCGTCGCCCACCTTGAAGATGGCCGCCTGCCACACATCCACGCCCGTCTTCTTGGGCGGCGTGTTTTCATCGCCCTCGTCGCCCGGCTTGACGATCTCGCGATGCACCTTGAACGTCGCCATGAACGGAGCCTTTGCATGCGACTGCAGCGGTCGACCGGACTTGCGGTCCAGATCCACCACCACACCATCCGCATTCGACGGCAGATACACACCCGCATCCACCTGGATCTTGGCCATCTCCTCGTCGATCTTGGCCTTCTTCTCCGGCTTGCTCTTCTTGATGTACGGCTTGAGCTTGCCCGAGATGCTCGTCACCTCGTTGAAGAACCCGAACTCGCGCTCGTAGAACTTCTGCGCCTCGCCCGACAGCGCCTGCACAATGTTGTCCACCATGCGGTCGAGCGTCGGCTTCATCGCATCCTCCTCCTCGGCATTGTCGTCCTTGTAGCTGTTGGCCTTCATGTTCCAGATGATCTGGTGGCAGAAGAGCTGCGAGATCTTGCTCGTCTCAAAGATGAACTGCTCCACGTACCCGTACGCGTCGGTGCGCAGCGCCTGCACCACCTGCGGCACGTAGAAGAACGTCAGCTCCACCGGATGCTGTTCGAGCGCACGCATGGCGTACTGCAGCAGCGACGGGTGGTTGTCGTAGTCCGGCTGGAAGAGGTCGATCGCCTCGACGGGCGACACGGCCGCCCAGTAGCCCAGCCACTTGAGGTCCGCACCCTCCTTCTTGGCCAGCTTCAGATGATCCTCCACCAGGTACTTGAGCGCACCGGGCACATCCACCGTCTTGTACGGCTGGCTGCGCACCGCCCTTCCGAGCGCCGCCTTGAGCGCCTTGGACTGGAATCGCGAGCCGAGCTGCACCGCCGTGACGGGGCTGATGCGCCACGCCGTCTCGACCATGCTGCCCCACGTCGCCTCGGTCATCGACTTTGTCAGCGTGCCCACAAAGTCGGTGCCACGCGCGGGCGCGTTGAGCGGATTGGCCCACACCGACAGGCGCCCCACCTCGTTCTCCACCAGCAGCTGCAGCAGCCTCTTCTTGTCGTCGAACGATCGGCCCGCCTCGGCCACCGTGAGGCCGCCGGGCAGTCGCACCGCCGACAGCGTGGGCGGG